TTTGCATCTTGTAAATGAAGGGAATATGATTAATTTAGGTGGCCTTATGTTTCTGGTATCCTGTGTTACTGGGAGCTGATGGGTGAGGAGGCCCTGTTTTTTGACCCCACCAAACCAGGATGGAGCTTCCATCATGCTGAGCTAAGGGGGTTGATATGGAGGCAGAGAGTTGTAACTAAAGTTCTTACTTAAATTTAGTATATTTTCTTAAATAAACATTTTTAAACTTGCTGTTTGCTCTTAAGATGATTCCCAGAGACTGTAAAGAATTGTTTGTTCTTTAAGAAGTAATCTTTAATAGTTGTGGTTGTTTGCTGGGGAGCAGTTTCAAAGAACTCCTCACTCGGAAATTCAGGAAGTGATAGTATTTCTCTTAGGCTTTTTGTATTTACCTAAAGCAGCAATTTTTAACCTTTTTAATCTCATGGTACACATAAACTAATTACTAAAATTTTTTCACACACACAAAAGTTTTTTTGCTTGTCTGACAAAAAATAAGTTTAATTGTGGATTTACCAAAAAAATGATAATAGTAATTATCTATCCTTTTTGATCTAAAGTGACTTTTTAAAAAATCATGCACTTATACTTATATATAAGGATTTTTAGATTCAAGAATTTAACCAATCAGATGTAACCTTATTATAGGACATGACCAATAAGATGCAACTCTGTTATGTGACCTATATGTTTATGGTTCAGAACAGGGTAGTCACATCAGATGGCTATTGTTGTGTTAGCTGTTTTCATTTTTTTTTAAATCTAAGGGAAAAAAGGTCAGTGCTCCTGACTAAATAGTCAGATATTAATGCTTTAAAAATTCCTGTGGCATGCCAGTGTGTCGCGGCACCCTAGTTGAAAAATCACTGACTTACACAGTATAAGAAAATGAAGATATTTATCTGAATTAAATTTTTTTAAAAATCTTAAAGAGAAAGAGAAAGGCCTTTTGGGATTAGATTTCTGCCCAGAATCATCTAGGGTTTTTCACTGAGATTAAATTCTGAAAAACTTCTTACCTTTGCAAAATGCTTTGACTAAGCAGACTTTGGATACTCCACATTTTTTTTTTCTTTCAGCAATGTGGACATGGCACTGAAAAAGTCTTACTTAATTATTACCTCCATTTCTAAGTCCATATTTTAAGACAATCTTAGTATTCCTCTTCATTTACTTGATAGCTTGGGGCCATTCTTAATTCTCTAAGCCAGAAACTTCAAATGTATTCATTGAAGTCAGTTCATCAAACTTTATGGAGTTCTACCCTGGACAATCTATCAACATGGCTCAGGATACAGGGGGAGACTTCAATATAGATTATATGATCTGTAGTTGTAAGGAGCCATTAATTGGGAATTTACATAGCCAAGAATATGTAAATAAATTCTAGCTCTTTGCAGGTACTTGGTTAATATTGAGTTTTTTCCTAGGTAGTTGTTTTTCCACCAAGGTCAATAAAGTAGTCAGAGGTGGTGGTATTTACAATTGTCTCAATGTGAGTTACACTGGTTCTTTTAATAAAATATCCTGTAAGAATGTCCTACTGACCTCAGTGGCTGCCTAACTTCCCAGGACATCATAGGTCTTCTGTTGCCAGGCACCAAAACTTTCCTTGTTCCTTGTCTGTAACGGTGGAATAACTACATTCCATGTTATTCACTTCCATAACAATTGACTCTCCTCTTCTGTTGTTCTTTTGATCCTTATATATGATGATGTGAATGAAATTGCCTAGGAAAGCAGAAATCTAGAAATAGATATTAAAACTATGGTGGAATTAACAAAAATTATGGGAAAACTTTTCCTACTTAAACTCTCAAGTTATTTTATAAATTGTTGATACCTCTGGTTCTTTTCTGGCCACCTTCCTGTCAGTGTGAAAGATTATGAGTAACAACTAGACCTTCATGCTTGAGCTGTTTTCATTTTTTATTTTACATCATTCAAATCATTAATCTCACAAAACAACCCAAAGCTCCATTCATTCAGTAAGAAACTAAAGGTCCCCTGTGTGGCAAGCCTTATGCTAGATGCTGGTGCTTCAGAATCAATGAGATGATTTCCTTGATCTTAAAAGAATTTTATAGGCTCATGAGGGAAACAAATAAGAAACAAATAAATGTAATAATTAGTGTTCTGTGATAAAGAAGTACATACAGAATAGAAAAGACCCTAACTAAGGTTAATGCTCACTTCTGCAGGTCGATATAGGGGTCAGAAAAATCTTCACCTCAGGGAAGTGATGATTAAACTGACCCATGAAGAGAGATTCTTAAAAGACTGGATTGGGCAAGAAGTGATGAGAAAAGGCATTCCAGGCATGAGAAAGGCTTGAAGATAAAAATCCACACAAATAGACTTGTGTTAATTATCTTTTATCTTACAATTGAAAGGATGTAAACCCAAGAGAAAACTCTGTTTCCTTGATTATAATATTTTTTTATTTTTTGTATGAATTCTCCAGTTTTACAGGTCTCAACATTCTTAATAATAAGGAGCAGTGCCGTATTTATCTGACACAGAATCTGACATTCAGTAATTTCTTTAAAATGTGTTGAATGAATGAATGACAGAAATCCACTGATCATTATCCACATTAAGGGCAGTTCTTTTCCCTGTCAACCAGTTCTGAATGAACTTCATGTAATGACACCAGCCCCTGTTTCTGAGTTTCTAGCCTTTCTGCAGAAATGTCTACTACACGTTAGAGCTCCAGTGAGGGAAGGGCTGCTTCCTGAGGGTGCATGTGGCTGGCACTTTTGCTGGAAGTAGCAGAAGGGATATGCAAATTCTATATAAGTACAGATCTCTGGTAAAACTTTGGCTTATGATCTGGTGCCTAATTTTAAGAAAAATTACATACCTGATGCATACTATACAGAAGTAGGTGAAAAAATTGTAATTAAAGCAACTCTTTTCATCTTAACAAATTTTCCTCATTTCCTCCTTATTCCTTTTTTTTTTTTTAATGTGACACCTATATCTTCTAATATAGTAGGAAAGTACCAGTTTGGGTTTTTTATACTTCTTGGACTATCAACTCCTCATTTACTGGTCTTGGACCCTTAGTAATCCCCCAGTTGGCCATTTTTTTTGTTATTCCTGGGCTCTGCCCACTCTGTGGGGTATGTGGCATCTTCTAGGCTTTGGTTGAACAAGTAGGTGAAGAGAGGCTATCTTTCCCCTTTCCTGCCTGATCCAGTCAATCTCTAATGTAGACACACAAGGGTTTAAAAGTGTTTGTGGCTTTTTTCCTTCCTTCCTTCCTTCCTTCCTTCCTTCCTTCCTTCCTTCCTTCCTTCCTTCCTTCCTTCCTTCCTTCCTTCCTTCCTTCCCTGCTTCCTTTCTTTTTCTTTCTTTCTCTCTCTCTTTTGAGAAAATTCAAAGCATCTTGGCTTTAAAGCCTCAGCTATGGCACACTCAGTGGGCACAGCCTCAGTGACTACCCAGGTGTTCTGCCCTAAGGTTGGTCCCTCTCCAGGAGAAGGCCTTTGGAGGAGGCCCTTCTCTCTCCACAGGATCCATTTTCTCTCACTGACCAGCCCCCGTCCCTGGCAACCCCTACCAGTACATTTGCTCACATCTCACTCATTAACTATAATAAAGAGGGGAAACTCTAAAGTTTTAACATCCTAAGGTCAAGGGAATAAATTGCATTAGGTTGGGGTTTGTAATTCCAAATTATACAGATTCCCTTGTGAGGTCTCTTTCTTCCTCCCCTCCCCTGAACTACAGGCCAGCCCATAGAACACATGCAACTCATCTCATCTCATCTCTCTCTCTCTCTCTCTCTCTCTCTCACACACACACACACACACACACACACACACACCCCCCACTCCCCCCAAGGACTAATTGTCAGAGAAGTTACAGAATAATGCCCTAAAGAAGAAAGAGTTCGCTCCCTAACTGCCACGTAATTTGCAAGACAACACTCTCTCCAGCAGTCTGGGCATATTATTATTATGCAGAAGAATACACAGAATAATTCCCTTTCACCATTTATTCCCACCCTAGTTCTTCTCCCCATGCTATTTTAAATTGTACTCCCTGGGCTTGCTAGAAATAAGAGAAGGTCCTATTGTGGGGCAAGACACTCATCCAGGGCTTGCTCTAACAAAGAGATGCTTTGCTATTCCATTCCATTAAGAAATAGATTAACTCCTCATCTGAAAGTCCACTTTATCCTCAATTTCCAACTAGGCAGGAGGGGAGCCAATGGATTAATCTTCCCCTTGCATAATATAGGTAATTGATGATCTTTGTGCACAATAGCCAGATCACATGGTCTGACAAAGGACTTATTTTTTCTGAATCATGATTCATTTTCATCAGGTCTTACAAAAGAATAAAAATCAAGCTGGACTTAAGTTTTCTGTGGGGCATTTAACTAATCACCTTCCTGAAGAAAAGAATAATTATACAAATTCACGTAGAAAATTCAGCCAGCATGGCCATCAGAGCTTTATGAGAAATACACGAGTTAATCATGAAAAATGTTCAAGTTCTTAAGTAAACCTTTAAAAATTTTTTTTGAACATGTGGCCATGTTTCCTGGTGAGGCTGAAATTCGTCAAAGGCAGAACTGAATGTCAAATGATAATATCTGCTGAATAATTCAGGCCATCTGAACTCTGATATTTTACCTGCTTTAATGAGTATAACGAGTGCAATTAGAGAGTGTTTTCCTCACAATGCCAGACACAATGTGTTTTCACCTAATTGTGGGCCCTGTTTTCCTTCTGGTAACTTATATCTGCATGTTTGTCTGTATTCCCAGTGCCTGGCATGGCAGCCACTAGATAAATGTGGGTTGCAGTCAGTCACTGAGTAAGTTTTGATGATTATCATGGAGAAAAAAGAGATTGCAGAATAAAAATTAGACATTCCATTAAGAAAATCTGTGGTCAATCTCATTTGCAACAGATTGGAATGGGAATAAAGAAATTGTAGAACTTGGGGTTCTCTCTAATGTTATCTTTTTCTTTCTCCCCTGGCAGGGAAATGATGCTGATATGGTCGATAAGAACAAGTGCTGCACACTCTGTAACATGTCTTTTACCTCAGCGGTGGTGGCTGACTCACATTATCAAGGCAAAATCCATGCCAAAAGGTTAAAACTGTTGCTAGGAGAGAAAACTCCACTGAAGGCCACAGGTATGTGTGTGAACAGCAACCGCAGGGAGACACTGAATTAAAGCAGCGGGCCTGTTTCGTTAGTTCTGCTCCCTCTGCAGAGTGGCTGCCGGAATTGGAGCCTAATGGTAGATGTCCTTCCAAAGCAAAAGGGAGGGGCAGGGAGCCCAGCAGACCTCACTGTCATATACCATTAAATCTAATACCAGGTGCTTGTTCTCAGCCTGGCTCCTTCAAATTAGTAATTTGGCAGCTTGCAACTTCTGAAAGGTGTTTACCTTCTGCAAGATGTCTGTCATATTTATTGTATATCATGTAAGATATTATATCTATGATGCAAAGAACACTGCTCTTTCCCAGCTTCAGTCTGCATTCAGTATGGCTGATGGAGAGTGTACAGTACCTAATGGCTGCGTTCCCTGCCCAGGCCTGTAGGGTGCACCGTATCATCTGGGGGATTGGGGGAAGAGCAAGACTGGAGTTATTAAAAACACTTTTGTTTGCAGACAACGGAGTTGGTTTTTTAAAAGAAATTTTCTGTTTAGAAAAAGAAAATGTGGATATAGTGTTTTAAATATTAATCTTAAGCTCTTCTCTTTAGATGTTCAGTATTATTTGTGATAAAGTTAATAATCCATTAGGATTTATTTATTTATTGAGGTAACATTGGTTATAACATTACATAAGTTTCAGGTACTCACCACCAAAAGTCTAGTTTCCATCTATCACCACATGTTTGACTTCTTTTACCCATGTAGCCCTCCCTCTATCCCTTTCTCTGGTGGCCACTAATCTCTTGAATACATTTATGAGTTTGTTTTTTGTTTGTTTCTTTTTTTGTTTCATATTCCACATATGGGTAAAATTATATGGTTTTTGTCCTTGTTTTAATCTGACTTATTCAATTAGCATACAAGGTCAATCATGTCACAAATGACAATATTTCATCTTTTTTATGAGATGAATTCCTATCATTTTCATAGGGGATCCTATAAGTCAACCTAACTTTCACAATAAAAACTTATGTATTGACAACATTTGGCCTTCAATTAGTTGCTTAATTGAAAAAATTCTTCTGAAGTCTATCGAATCACAAAACTAAAAAAATATATACTGTTCTAATTTAATCAGGCTGGGCTATTTGGACAAGGTTTACATTATGGTACAGATGTGAAGTAGACTAGGTTATAATCCCAAGAAGTTGGGGGTGTATATCATGATGTCTACTCTTTCAAAGCAATTAAAATTTAACAGTTCATTTTATCTTGCTGTCTAATGAGTCGTGAATAAATCGTGGGTGTAATTCTTTTTTAAATGGTATTTTGGAAACTGGAGAATGTCTAAAACAATACTTGGCTTTTATCCTCAGCAGTGTTTTTCTTAAGAGAAAGATCTTCTTTTACTTAGAGAATAGCAAGGAATCTTTTCACTATATTTTTCTACTTAGCCCCACTAAAGACTATTGTTTTTGCACAGGTGGCTTTGACATTCAGACATAGGATAGGATTGTGAAACACATGAAATCTGGTGACAAGCTCAGCTTATTTGGAGGCACACTCTGTATGAGTATTTGATAGGCAGCCACATGGTTGAAACTCCTGATTCTTGCTCTTTAAAAGGTTGGATACTCACCTTGTAACCTACTCCCCTTCAAATCTCTTAAAATAGACACCGCAAAGAAATAGGCACTGGAAAATTTGTACTTGTTTTCCATGAATGAGCAACTACCCTGTTTGTTCTCTCTTCCTAAGCAGAGGATCGCTGTTAAATTAAACTTTAGAGGCAGCAATGGAAGAGGATCTAGACCTTTGTTTATCATGTTAATTAGCAAATGGAGAGTTATTATTTCTGTAAAAAAAATTACCTGGCAAAAATAGTTCTGTGAATTTAAATATATCCTCAAGATCACCAAGTACCAGTTTGTTTTCCTGAATTCGAATATCCTCAGAGCTGTAAATATAACTTGGGTGTAATTTATTAGTTGCCATCCATAGTCCAAAGGAAAAATCAAAAGCATTTAAGCTGAAATCTTTATGTAGTGACTTCTCCTTTGTGTCCACAGATCTGGCCCAGTCCTCACTGTGACAGAAGTCAGGTTGATGGGTAGGCAAGAAGGGAATGGGGATGGGGTGGGGGAAGTAGCACCAATTGTGTTAGGGGCTGGGAGAAACAGATTCTAGTTTCCTCATACCAGCATCCCTCTTTCTCAACTAGCGCAGGTTCCCAGGCTGCACATCAGTGCTCTGTAGTTCATCCTCTCATCCATTCTCCTCTAAAGCTGCTTTGAGCAGGAAAAAATCTTGAGAAGTGGCAAATCATACAGAATTGAAGGGCCTGGGAAGTGAAATTGGTCCCTGGGCTTGGCTTAGTGTCAACTGGACTGCTGGCAGGGAGCAAAGGAAGCAATATATCCTGCTAATATATCGTTAGATAAAAGTATAAGCAGAGGGTAGGAATAGGGAGGTGTGGCATAGGATAAAGGTTTGAGGGCTTGATAGTGAGGTGGAACCTAGCAATGGAGAGTCTGGGTGCAGAGACTTAAGCAGGGTACTGGCATCAGGAAAGTCTGGCAGGTGGTAGGAGGTCCCAGCTGCAGCCCTGGGGTTCTAGGAATAGGAAGGTCTGGTAAAAGCGTGGCAGGGCATCATCATTAAGACAAGAGTACTGGACTGGTCATGAAGTATAATGAACAAATCAGGAGCCTGGTTCCCAGGCCTAGGATATAAGTGGAGGCTTGGTCTCAAGCACAAATTCAGTTACTACAGGTACAGGATAGGGACCAAGAGGCATCAGAAAAGGATGCCCAGGCCACGGGCCTCCTGAGTTATCAGGTGCAGCCCCTTCAGCTCCTTGACTAGAGTCAGTACTGCCTGCCATTATTCTTGCTGCCTACGGCCAAGCCCATCAGCAGTTCCTAAAGGACTTCACCCTCCATGCTGCGGCTGTCCTGTGCACATCCAGGAATGGCTCTGCCTGATCAACCAGGTTGGCTTCAAATTACTTCTGTAATGAAAACAAAGGGGAAAAAAAGGAACATATAAAACCCAAGAAAGTGAATCAAGATGCCAGAGAGAAGTAATTCTCCTGCTCCAGTGTGCTGCTTAAGCTGCCCCTCCATGAATAATAGGCTCTTGAACTGTAGTGATTTCTGGGTAGGAATAATTGAAGCATGACTCATTGCTTCTCCTAGCTATTCCATCTGATGAAGGTGAGCAATTGGTACCTGTGAATCATTACCTTTCCTCCTACGCAGGATGCACTGGGCTCAAGCATCCTCTGGGCATCCTGCAGAATTCATTGTCATTTGAGTTGCCTTCTCCAGATGGGTGCATGTTTACTAGCATTTCTGAAATGCTTGGCAGAGCCACTGGAACAAAAACTAGTTTCAATTCTTGGCTAGTGTTTTTCAGAGTCTCTCTTCTAGTTCATGCCATTCTAGATCTTTCTGCAAAATGAGAGCATGAGGAGTACTTTACACCCACCGTGTTCTTTCAGGGTCAGCAGACCTCAGCATGGAGCTGGTGCCCAGACCAGATGTGGAAGTGAGGTTGCTGTAGTCATGTCATTTGCGACTCTGTGAGGAGCATTTAGGGGAGGCTCAGAGGACAGAAGGGCATGCAAATCCTCTCATTGGTGGAAGAGTAGAAGAAGTAGGGGTTATTAAGCATGGAAAAATGATTACTCAAGGGTAAGTTTTTTGGAAGGCTGTCCTAAGAAAGAAAGATTCATGTTGTGTGTGTGTATATGTGTGTGCATTTGGGAGGTTGGATGCATCAGATTTAGACAGTGAGTGAGTAGAAAATTAGGGAGTTAAGTCTGAGCTCAAGATAAGGGAGAGTTTATTAATATTCAGAGATACTTAAAGGTAAAATGTTTGGCTGTGGGAGCTGTTGAAGCAGACACTGGCTAATCACTTGGCAGGGCATTTTCTCAGGGTGTTCCAACTTAATGACATTAGCCTGGATGACATAAGTCCTTCTTTCCCTGAGAGTCCCAGCCAGAATCTACAGGCTTGACCCACTGACATAAAATAGCAGAAAGAACAGTGGCCTGGATGTCAGGAGACAGGAACCCAGGCTCTGGCTCTGCCTCATTATGTATTCTTTAGTTGCTCCATTATCTTTTTCAACCTCAGATTTCTCATCTGTCATTTAATTCTAATGGTGGATGAGTTTATCTCACTGACCCTTACACAGAGCAAATAACAGATTTAAGAGTTCATTGAGAAGTAGAAGATGCTGTGAGCATTTAATAAGTGAGTGATACGGGATATGATTCCTTTCCTCTATCGGAGCCTCTGACTCTCTGATTAACATGGGACTGTTGAAACACCATCTTGGGACTATCACACAGAGACATTATGTTGTGTCTCCTTGAAGATGAACTTCCCTGGGCTAAGTCCTATGAACTGAGGCAGGGCCTGGCACTGGAGCTGCCCATGAGAGAGATGCAGTGCTGGCGGGCATGGGGAGCATGGGCCGGTGGTGGCACGGAGTTGAGGAGACAAACAGGCTCTGACATTAAGGAAACCTTTCAGGAAGGAGAGGCTCAGCCACCACCATGGGGGCAGGACCATGGACCCGGGCCCAGGGCCTGGCACGTAGAGTCAATAGTAAGTCATTTCCAAGAAAAACTCAAGTTCTCTAGAGGACAAAACAAGGAACCAGACATGAGAATGAGGGCCCAGGAAAGATTATCAATCTCAGGAATTTGGAAGAGGCTCTGTTATCAAAGCAGAAACACAAAGTGATAAAAGAGCTAGAAGCTTGATGCTAAACCGTAGAGATCAGGCTGCTGCAGCCTTGCTCACTCAAGGCTTGGGTTGGTCTGAGAGGCCCCTCCCAGGGAGCTGGCTCTGGGTAAAGGGGAGTGCTCCCAGCGGAGTGGATTGGAGGAGCAATCAGACAGACACTGGAGGTTGGGCACTCTATGGTGTTTTTTCTGGGCTCCTGTGCACTAAGCTGTGGGTTTTTCCCAAGTGGCTGCCTGGCTGGTCTATAAGGAGATACATTAGGTCTGCC